TCGTGTGGAAGGTGTGACGCATACCTAGGTAGAGTTATGCTTCAATAAAGAGAAACCGAGAGAGACGTCGTGGTTTGTGAGGTTCGCTGAGGTGCGAGGGCAGCCCCGACGTGCAATGTACGTCGAGGAAGCCTCTTGCGCGGCGCCGAACTCACACTCGAGTACAGACCGTCTAAGCAGACGGAGACGACCACGACGGCTCCGGCGGATAACCGAAATTTCAGTCTCATTATTCGTCGAGCCAAACTGTGGCTTCACATGGTGGCAGCGGAAAACAGAAGACCAGGATCAGCACGTCAAGAAGCGGTTCCAGACCGAGATTCCAGATCGCTCGCGTTCAACCAGCGACTTCGGATAACGGCGGAATCGTGCTAGCGATCCGATTCGAGAAGAAAAGAAATACGCATCGACAGGAGTCGCCACGAGCAGATCGTCCCGAACATCAGGGCATACAGTGCGTTTTTCCGGAGTTTGAGACTCGAGAACATATCAGCTACCGGCGGAGGGGCCATCCATTGGCAGACATCGGACAGCGTCCTCTCAGACGCCAGATCCAGTCACGTCCCGTCCAGCGGTGAGCCAGGCAGTGCCGCGAGCTCAGAAGGCGGATTTTTCCCACGACCGACGCGGCGGCGACGGTTCGCACCCGAGCCTCGTGGCGAGTTAGGCCTATCCCCTGAAGGCCGGTCAGCGGAAGATCTCGCAAGCGCTCCGGCCGGTTCGCAACCATGCCGGACGACGACCAGACCAATGTGCCAGTGGCAGAAACATCGGAAGCAGGCGATTCTCAGAAACAAGGTTCCAAGGGAACGGCGGCGGAGCGAGAGTCCATGAACGCTCAGATAGCGATCAGACGTACGCTCCGCACGCGCTTCACGAAAAAGGCGAAGGAGTTGGAGGAGGCCCTTCGCTACGAGTCATCAACATTCAGTGACTGCTCCAGGCTGTGGAAAATCGTGGAACACACATATCAGGAGATGGAGAGACTGAATTCAGTGCTGACGCAGATGGTTCTCGCGCTATCCCCTGAACAGTACGAAAACATGATGGAGAGAGTGTTCCATTACGAGGACGAGTTCTTCAGGATAAGGGAAGCGTTCGAGGCAATCTTCCATCCAGTGGCTCAAGCGTCCAGCGTCGGAAGCGCGACTTCGCCCACGACGGGCTTAGCGCTCAACCGAAAGTACCGTCTTCCGAAGTTCGCCGGTGACTACAAGAAATTTCGAGAGTGGCGGCAACTCTTCGACGTGCACGTTCATCGCAAAGCGCTCGATCCAGTCGAAAAATTCACTCTTCTGAAGGAAGCACTCGTAGGTCTCCCGGCGTCGGAGATAGCTCATCTGGAGTTCAGCGCGGAGCAGTATCCAGTGGCGATCGACATCATCGAGAAAAAGTTCGGCAACCAGCGGGAGGCAGAGAAGGAGCACGTTTTCGAGATCCAGAAACTCTACAAATGGAGTGATCTGCACCATAACGATAAGTTAACCCGTTTCGTCTCCTCGCTGACTCAAAACGTCAAAGCGCTGATTTCGTTGGGCTTATCCTATTCGTCACTCTCGGTGACAATCACTCCAGGTATCATAGCGTGCTTACCGAGCACGATGAGAGAAGATTTCACTCGAACGCATTTCGAAAAGCTACGGCTCAATGACGTTTCGAACAGCGAGCTTGAGACGCTCCTAGAGTATCTAGAGAAAGAGGTAGCAGTCAAGAGAGCATGCAGGTCTTGGGGCAACGATTCGAACCCCGGACCTTCTCATTCGCGCAGGGATTTCAGCGAGAGAAGTCAGTTTAGAGCAGGGAGCAGCAGGTTCAATGGTGGGGCGCCTGGAGGAAGCGGAGCCTTCTTCGCAGGGAGTCAGAGGAGAGACCCGGTAGATCACAGCTGCGTCTTCTGCGGCAGCCAGAAGCACGAATCGAAAACGTGCAGAAAAAATTTAACGTATGAGGAACGACGGACTCTCTGCGAGAGAGGCAATGCTTGCTTCAAGTGTCTCAACCGGAACCACTACGCTAGGAAGTGCAGAGCCCATGTAAAGTGCGAGAAGTGCAGCAGAGCCCACTACTCGATAATGTGTGGTCAGCAGAAGTCGAGTCAGAGCGCGGGTCAGAGTTCGAATCAGAGCGCGGGTCGAAACACGGAGTCTTTCGCGGTTCAGAATTATAGCGAGCCAGCGGAGCAGGCATCCACATTTTTCCAGACGGGTCTAGCATGGGTGAATTCGTCTAGCGGAAGGAAGATTTTCCGATTCTTCATAGACACCGGCTCGGAGCGTTCATACATCTCCGACCACGTGATCCAGTCACTCCGCCTGAAACCGGTTCAGCAGGAAAGCTTGGCGATGATCACGATCGGCGGAAATGTGTCTACCTATAAGAAATACGACGTATTCGAGATCGGGTTACAGAGTAGATTCGATGATCGAGCAGCGATCAGGTTGCGCGCGATCGGCATCCCGGAAATCGCGAAAGGGGCTTTCCCGGTGTCGAACGAGACCTGGGGCCTCCAGCCGATGGCAGACATCGCCAAGAACATCAGTAGGCGCGAAATCGATATCCTGATAGGTGTAGATGTCCTGGCGAAGATCAAATGCGGAGAGGAACGGATTCTAGATGACCGGATGATAGCGAGTGAAACGATCTTCGGTTGGGTGGTCGCTGGAAGAGACAGTTCGTCGACCGAGTTTCGACGTTCGCAAGTCTTCGTGACGGCAAATCTCTATCAGCCAGGCACGAGACTGTCGGATTCTAAAGTCGTGAGCATGTTCGCTAGACCGTCAGGCGGAGGGGAGTGTTCGCACCCGTCCAGCGGGGTGGAGTTCAGCTCCAAGGCAGATCCGAACCAACAGCTGAATGCGGATCTGGAGAAATTATGGTCTTCGGAACTCCTCGGAATAGAGGATCCCATGGTAGAATCGAATAGTACCGCAGAAGCGGATCTGCAGAACTTCTTCCAGAACGGCATTCAGAGGTTGGAGAACGGTCGCTATATGGTCAGTCTCCCATTCAAAGAGAACATTCGGGCCCTCGGAGACAACGAGAACGTAGCGCGCGGCAGTCTGAAGCGATTCCTCGTAAAAAATCGTAATAGAAAGGAGCTTATAGCGGCGGTCGATCGGGAAATGAGGAGTTATCTCGAACGCGGATACGCGGAGCTGGCGACGCCGAAGGAGCCGGGCGAACTGGTACATTATCTACCGATACTGCCAGTCGTCAAGCAGAGTCCAGCTCAAGAGGCATTCAAGGTGCGGGTAGTGAAGGATGCAGGAGCCCGACGAAAAGATGAGGCGGCCTTGAATGACGTTCTCCATTGCGGCGCTAACCTGCTCCCGGACGTAATCAAGGTTCTCCTACGATTTCGGCGAGACGAGATCGCCATCGTATGCGACATCGAGAAGGCGTTCCTTCAGTATCGGATCCATCCGGATCACAGAACGTTCCTTCGATACTTCTGGCCTCAAGGGATAAGCGAAAACCCACTGGCTCCAGTTAGGGAATTTTGGAGTACAGTTCTCGATTTCGGTATCGTCTCTAGCCCATTCATCCATTGCGCGGGAATCAAGTTCCATATCCGGCAGCTGATCGAGCAGCACCCGGACAGGGAAGCTTTCCTGAGAGACATAGACGAGAACTTCTATATGGACGATCTAGTTTACTCAGAAAAGTCAGTAGAATCAGGATTAGAGCTCTCAGTTTTTTTGTTCAAAGCGTTCAGCGCGGGTGGCTTCAGGCTTCGGAAATGGGCTACCAATAGTTCAGAACTAGGCGGCAGGATTCGAGAGTCGCTGAGCGACCAGGACATTCAGGTCTCTTACGACCAAGCGGACGCAAAGTTCCTCGGCATAGGCTGGAACTTGCGAACGGACGAACTGGCGATATCTCTTTCATCGGCCCTCGAGACTCTCGAGTCCAGCAAGCCTACGAAACGTTCACTTCTGAAAAGCACGGCACAGATCTTCGATCCCTTAGGTTTTATTTCGCCCATCACGATCAAGCCGAAATCACTCTTGCAATCACTCTGGAAACAGAAGATCGATTGGGACGAGGAGCTGTCAGAGTCCAACCTAGAAAATTTTCTGGACGTGAAGAACACTTTCGAACGCGCGCAAGACTTTCGTCTGCCTCGGAGCATAAACACAACATCGCGAGACGTCATCGGGAGAGAACTTCATGTGTTCTGCGACTCGAGTCTGTCTGCTCTCGGTTGTGTTGTTTTCATGCGGGAAATTTCGAGAGAGGGCAGTGCGAGAGTTTCGTTTGTCGCCTCGAGGGCGAGAGCAGTACCGCTGAAGAGCGCTTACTCGATTCACAAGTTGGAATTGATCGGAGCGCTACTAGCAGCGCGCATGGGGAAAAAATAAAGCGTTTTCTCAATTTTCATTTCGAGTCCACGTGTTATTGGTGCGACAATTCGCCCACACTACACTGGATAAAAGATTCGCCAGACCGATGGAAGGTCTTCGTAGGGAATAGGATTCGCGAGATCCAGTCTCTCACAGACTGCGCGGATTGGGATTATGTCAAGTCAGCCGAAAATCCAGCAGATCTGTTGAGCCGGGGAATCAATATAGCCGATGCGGAATTCAGTTCGATGTGGACTTCAGGACCTCCATGGTTGACGACTCCAGGTCGTCCGACGGAGAAGCATTCACTGAACGTCCTCTTCGAGAACGAGATCGAGAAGGAGAGGAAAACGAGAGTCCTTCTCACAGGAGCCGAGCCGAACCCCGGTTTTCTATCGCTTGGCTCCCGATTATCATCTTGGAGCACGTTGGTTAATAGCATCGCGAGGATCCTCAGATGGTCAGCGAATAGGCGGTCTCCAGCATTGAAGATTGCTCTCGCTGATCCAGTCGGCACGCTGGAGTCGCTCCAGGCGACCGAGAGAATACTGGCAAATGTCCAGAGAGCTCATTTCGGTGAGGAGCTAGCGTCGGGTTGCAGAGATATCGCGAAAACCAGCAAGCTGTTTAAGTTGGCTCCATTCATGGACGAGCTTGGAGTATTGCGGTGTCGCTCCAGGTTAGAGCGCGCTGAGGAGCTCAGTTACGATGAGAGGTTTCCGAGACTGCTCCCAGGCGACGATTCTGCGGTTCGACTTCTCATCAGATTTTTCCACGAGAAAAAATGTCATCACGTCGGAGGCGTCGCAGCGACCCTCAGCATACTGCGGAAAAAATATTATATTCTGTCGGCAAGGCGAGCGGTCAAGAGCGTCCTGAAGGACTGTAAGATATGTATGCTCTTTCGAGCGGAGGCAGCAGCAGAGCCTGTCCCTCCGATTCCGAACTTCAGGCTGGAGACGGCTCCGCCGTTCACGGTGTGCGGAACGGACTACGCGGGACCGATCTCGTATCGGCATGAGGATGGCACTCTTCGGAAGAGCTACATCCTGCTATTCGTGTGTCCGGCTTCCAGAGCCATCCACTTGGAGCTTGTTCCAGACATGACGGCGTATGAGTTTCTCTTGTCGTTGAAGAAATTCCTCGCTCGTTTCAGCAGCGTAACGCGAATAATGTCGGACAACGGTCTTTCATTCGTCAGAGCCGCAAAGGAATTAAAAATAATTTACGACCACGTCAGATGTCCAGCCGTCCAACAGCACCTCGTCAATGCGGAGATCACGTGGGAGTTTATCACTCCTCACGCACCCACCCATGGCGCATGGTGGGAACGCATGGTTCAAACGGTAAAGCGTCCGCTGAGGAAAATTCTGGGTCGAGGAGCGCTGCGTTTCAGAGAGCTAGAGACAGTTCTGGTGGAAATCGAATCCTTAGTGAACGAGAGACCTCTCACAACGGTGCAACTCGATCCGAATGAGATCAGCGCCCTGTCGCCAGCGGATCTACTATACGGACATAGAGCGAAACCGACCCTGCCTGAAATGAAATTCAAACCAGACTCGCGTGAAGCAGCGAATTCGATCGTCTTTTCTAAGCGTTGGAAACACCAGCAATTGGTGTTTCGGGCTTTCCAGAAGCGGTTTTCAGAGGAATACCTTCAGTATCTAAGAACTGCGCATAGCAGGAACCCTTCGGTATCGCGTGGCGTCCAAGTCGGCGACGTATGCCTCTTAAGGGATCCGAGCCCTTCGAAAGCACGTTGGCCGTTGTGTCGCGTGCTAAGTCTTTCCGGCGGGGAGAGAACGGATCGTCGGCAACGATCCTGTCTCATCAAGACGGCTTCAGGCCAAGTCTTTCAGAGACCGGTTCAGTGGCTCTACCCACTAGAGGTCTAGCCCGGAAAGCGTGGAGAGAACGAACGCAGGGTACAATACAATATTATATTATCATTATATATCAGATTCAAATATTACACGAACGGAGACAGATTACGGTGCCTTCCTAGACCCATATCGTAAGCATTGGTTTGCGTACCGCCATCAACTCCGGGCTTGCGGGGAACTTCGACGGTGGCCATTTCGGGCGCGGCGGGCGCATTGGATTGCCCGGACGCAGCCGGCACGACGAGAGCATCCATGGACTCGGGCGCGATAGCGACGGCGGCGAAGGAGGTGGCGGCCCGGTCAAGCTCGATGATCCGCAGGTGGAAGCGTACACGATGGAGCAGCGCTTCTGGAGCTGAGAACATCTCCGGGTCTCTGGTCCCGCGATGGCGGCACTGAGCGGCCAGCAAACAGTAAGGTTGCCGCTCGACGTAAGACAGGTCGTCCACACCTTCCGACAGGCACTGCGAAGATCGCCGTAGGAGACGTTGGAGAACCGGCGGGTTCGAGTCACAGTGGCCATGAACAAACCGAGTGGGCTACGGCCGAAGGTGGACATTTTGCTGGTAGTAGATGCAACTGGGGGAGACGATGCCTCGGGAATGGTCTCCGTCGTATTGGGAGACCAACTTCGAGTTGGATTCGGGAGAGAAGACCTTCTTGGCGCTCTCCAAAGCGGGTAGAATTTCGTAAATTTCATCCAGTGACCCGGCTCCAGACCCGTCGTTCGACTCGAATATCGCTCTGCACATCTCGCGCTAGCTAGTCAGCTAGTTAGGATTCAAATGTCATTTCCGTTGGTAGCGCTCCAGTCAATTTCTATAGGAAACAGAGTTGACCGGAATTCTCGAATGTCCAATTTCGGCGTCGCACCCTCGGATCGAAATGGAAGAGATCGACTGTAAGGCATCCGGAGTGCCATCTCGAGAATTCGGCCGGGAGTGTGACGCATACCTAGGTAGAGTTATGCTTCAATAAAGAGAAACCGAGAGAGACGTCGTGGTTTGTGAGGTTCGCTGAGGTGCGAGGGCCGCCCCGACGTGCAATGTACGTCGGGGAAGCCTCTTGCGCGGCGCCGAACTGACACTCGAGTACAGACCGTCTAAGCAGACGGAGACGACCACGACGGCTCCGGCGGATAACCGAAATTTCAGTCTCATTATTCGTCGAGCCAAACTGTGGCTTCACAGGAAGTATGAAAGCGAAGCTTCCGAAAACTTGTTTTCTCTTTTTTGAAGCCTTAGAAACGGCCAAATAGGTCGATATTGGTATCAAATGAAAGCTCTCGTCGAGAGCTTTCGATCGCGCTATCGCACGACTCTGTAGCTATAGCCGTTCTCGAGATAGAAGGGGTTGAAGAAAAAACTTCTTCGGGCGTTTACGGGGACCACAAGGTGCGATCGGATCCGGGACCATGCGGAAAATGTTCCTCTCGAAATTACCTTCAAAATGAGACCCACTCGATCGGATCGGCTTCGGAGGGCAGATTTCGCCCAGACAGGTATTCGCTACAACGGAGATCAGGACGGGAGTTACCAGTTTTTCTGTGACAGTGACTACGCCGCTTGTCCAAGGACGCGCAAGTCTACGTCGGGAATGGTTATCGTTTCCAATGGTGGTCCTCTCTTCTGGACGAGCAGGAAACAGACTAGTACGGCTCTGAGCAGTTGTGAAGCCGGCCACGGTCATTTGGGCGAAAAGTCAAAAGGGCGCAAGCTCCAATTGGGCGCAATGCCATTTGGGCGCAGTGCCATCTGGGCGCAAAGCCGTTTGGGCGCAGTGCCATTTGGGCGCAAAGCCGTTTGGGCGCCATGCCATTTGGGCGAATTCTATTTGGGCGCAACCGCCAATTGGGCGAAAATTCATTTGGGCGCGAAGATCATCGGAAAGATACCTCGAGATAGATTCGTTTTTTTACATGGTAGACGCAGAGATTGACTCCCTCAGAGCTTCAGCCATGCCGTCCAGCAGCCGAATAGGCCGGTCGACGAAGATTGTCGTCCTGCATCTATGACGATCCCACTCGACGAGAATGGATAATCGTAGGCAATCATCTCGGGACGAGACCTCTTTTGCCTTCGAGAGGGGCATCGAGGATGTGCGCGCTGTGCGCAGTGACGAGTGGATGTCTCGCGGATGAGAGTCGGAGAGACTTAAACAATAATAACTGCCGTGTGATCGAAGTTCGAACGATTCTGAGTCGCCGTGATCATCGTTCCTAGACGCTCGAATTTTTTTGTGATCCGTCGTGAAATTTCATCGAATAAAAATGGCTTCGAATATCACCAAGACTCAGAAAGGTCGTGAAAAACTTATTCACGAGGGCTG